ACAATGAATAGGAAATCTTTGAAGGTTTTGCCTTATGCCATATGCCAAACATCGTTGTTTGTCATAAGATACTTTGAACAATTGCAACCTGTTTTCTTAATTTTTCTTACAGTTGACAGAGTTTATAGAAAGATTAACGACTCAGGTAGTTACAAAAGGCAAGGAAATCAATGAGTACAGAGAAAAGTTCAACATAAAGGTTCGTGGAGAGCAGGAGACCGAGGAGAAGGAGCCTGAGGAAAGCTCTAGCAAGACTGCAACACAAAGTGTTCTCGTTGGGAAACAGAGCCAAGAATGATATCACTAATCTAACTACCCTCCCCACGCAGATGACTCGGTTTAGAACTTACCCGTTGCCATCCACTCACTAGCAGAACAAAAAGCACCGGTTGGTTTGCTGTGCAGGGTAGAGTACCGGTAGCATTTATTGACTTTGTTGGTTTTTGAGGCACTTGCTGTTTTATTTTATATCTTTTGTATATTACAGCCACTACAAGTATGTCTTTAGTTACATGTTGAAGTTAGAAGTGATGTAATTTCGTACAGAAGTCACAAGGAATCATAGGAATGTTACAACATAGCTAATGATTTCTCACTGTCAATAATCATCTAAATTAAAAGTTACTTTGACATTGTTCAATTAAAATGGCAGAAGCAATGCTTTGCATATGTAAAAACAGAAAGTATGTTTCTAATGTGTCATTTATTGTGTTGTTTCAATACATAAATGCATTCAGTGACTAACCTTAACCTAACTATATAATAGCATTTTATACTATCAGATCTGGCAGAGCAAAGATTGCTATTACATTTGATCGCAGACTATTCTAGTGTGCTAGTTTTTGTTGATGTTTAGATATGTCGTCGTGATATATGCTGCATTGTTTAAAAAGTTTAAAAAACATAAATAACTGATGTGTGCGTAAACACTTGATGTGAACATGTGAATAAGACGTGTCTTGAAAATTTAACCACAGCTATTTCTTTGTTTGTGTATATTTGTTAAAAATGTAAACATGACAAGCCTGCAGTTGAAAAAAAACAGATGCCTGTAGCTAAGGTAGGCTCTGATTTGACTAGTAAGAAGCATTTGTAGAATCAAAGTCCATTTGCCTTAACGTATGTGTTGTGAAGATCGTTTTGACAATTTAAATGGGAAGATTATGAAAACCATCACAGTGGTTTAGCATGACATGTTTGAAAAGAAAAATCAAGCCATAACGGTTAGTTGTGGAACGTTGGCAAACGTCTATAAATTCATAGTTGCATTCTTTGAAAAGAGACGCAGTGAACAGCTAGAAGCATCTCACAGTAACTTTGTGAGAGTGCTCATAGAACACAGCGAGCTTTCACTCAATTATTTTGAAATATGAATTAGACTCTGAGGAAGCTTTTAGATTCTGCCATCAATAAGAAAGAATAATAATTGAAGGCCGGTGGACAACAGTCAAGTAGCAATAACTTGCTTACCACAAATTAATTCCTCCTCTACTAGTACAATGGTAGCTGCATAGAGGACTCCGAAAATTTGTCACAGATAATAAACGTCGGTTTGCTACTCTAAAGAGAAAAGAGGAGGAAGCAGGGGATGAGAAACATAGAAAGCGGAGGATGAGAGAGAAATAACGCTGTGGTGAATTGAAGCGAAGAAGAGTATGAGAGAATGGTAGGCAGGGGGAGGAGGAGTGAGAGAATCAGGGGAGAATGAAGGAGGAGGTGGAGGATGAGATTGGAGGGGGAGAAACCGATAAGAAGGGGCTGTAGCGGAGGAGATAGAAGAGAAGGTGGAAAAGAAGGGAGCTGATAAAGGACGGTAGGAAAAGAGAAGGGTGGAGAAGGAAGGAAGTGGTAACGGAGGGGGAAGGCTGGGGAATAATTAAGGTACAGGAGGAGGGAGGGGAGAGGGTGAATGAGAAAAGGATGAAGGAGGGAGAAAGTAGTAGTATATACCGAGGTTTACTATTTGTGACCAATTATCCCGTGGCCAGTTTTCCTGAACCCCGTGTATAGTTCCTACACAAACCACTCTCGCGAACTTCAAAGCTTCACATCACCAAAATTTGTAATATAAGGATATTCCGATATCCAACACCAGTCCTGCTTCCTACATTCATTTAGCTTCTCTTCCCCAATTTTAACTTTCTCGACCTCTACCCTTCTCCCTACTTTCTTCCATGCTATACCCTCTCCACCCTTTATCTCTACAATTTCCTCCATCTTCTGTTCCACTTCCCCACATTCCATCTACATTCTCCCCCTCCTCCACCTTTTCCCCAATCCTCTCCTGACAATTGCTCACCCGAATTTTGCTAACCAAAATGTATCACAAGTTATAAAAAAAAGTGGCACGCATATATTTGTCGTTTTCCAATTAGTGTAGTGAACATTTGTCGGGTGTACATGTGATTGTCGATGCATTCATCAGTATTGTTTTTAGCGGGCGAGATTTTTGCCAGGGGAGGATGGGGAGTGGGGGGTGGAGGAAGCGTCCCGCTCGCTGTGGACGACGCATGATCGATACCCCTCTATGATAGCCTGGCCCACATCCCTGTACCTGGCGTCCACGTATGTTTGTTATTTATAACTGCTGCTTGTTATTATGTATTATGTTACGGTCGACTCATTCAGGTCTGTGTATATAGGTCTACCAGTGGTCTACCATACATGTAGGTCTACTATCCTAACTCCCGCACATTGATTCGTCGAAACTGCGGTGTTGATACTTCCCGTACAACTCGGCACGTGCGAACTCTATCTTAGAAATATGACCAATCCAACGTTAGCTGAACATTATCTGTCTCTAATTTGCGTATTCGTGTGAAAACAAAGACAAACACGACGCCGCCGCCCCAACCCCGTGTCCGTCGCGAATCAGCTGTGCTGCCGTGCTGCGTGCGCTCATTGTTGGCCCAGTAGAGAGAGTCTACGCGCTCGACGCTCTCTCTCCGCTCCTCTCATTTGATCTCTTCCTCTCCTCCCTATCTCTCCCCCTCTCCTCTAGTCTGTCGTCTCTCTCCTATCGCTCCTCTCTCTCTCTCTTCTCACCTTCCTCGTCTGTCTCTATCTCTCTTTCATCTCTCTCGATCTCTCTCTTTTCTGCTCTCTCTCTCTACTTCTCTTCTCTCTCTCTCTCTCTCTCTCCTCTCTCTCGCTCTCTCTCTCTCTCTGTCTCTCTTCTCTCTGTCGTAGATGTCTCTCGTCTCTCTGTGTGTACGTGGCTCTCTCGTCCTTCTGTGTCGTACGTGATCTACTGGTCTCTTCTGTGTGTCTTGCCTGTGCTGTGATGTGGTGTGTGTGTCTCTCTCTCTCTCTCTTCTCTCATCTCTCTCCTCTCTCTCTCTCTCGCTCTTCTCTCTCGCTCTCTCTCTCTTCTACTCTCCTCTCTCCTCTCTCTCTCTCTCCTCGTCTCTCTCTCTCTCTCTCTCCTCTCTCTCTCTCTCGGTTCTCTCTCTCACACTCTCTCTCTCTCCTCTCGGGCTTTCTCTCTCTCTCTCTCTCCTCCTTCTCTCTCTCTCTATATATATCATACTATCACCATCTCTATCTTCTCTCTCTCCTCTCTCTTCACTCTCTCTCTCTCTTCTCTTCTCTCTCTCCTCTCTCTCTCTCATCTCCTCTCTCCTCTCTAAACACACACACACACGCCGCGCGCAACTCTCTGTTCTTCGCGATTCTGGTAGTCCTCTCTCGTCGTCACACACCCAACACAACCACGCACACGCTCTCTCTCGTCTCGCTCTCTCTCTCTCTCTCTCTCTCTGTCTCTCTCTCTCTCTTCTCCTCTCTCCTCTGCTCTCGCTCTCTCTCTAATCCTCTTCTCTCTCCTCTCTCTCTCTCTCTGCTCTCTCTCATCTCCTCTCTCTCTCCATCTGTTCTTCCGTAATACTATCTCTAGCTCTATTCTCTGTCTTCTCCTAGTACTTTCACTGTGCGTCAATCTTAGTTGGCCAGTATAGAGTTCTAGCTATCGAGCTCTCTCGTCCCCCTCTCTCTTGAAGTCTCATATCTCCCCCCTGGCTCCCATCATCCTCCCTTTTCCCCTGACCTGTCTTCTGTCTGTCTCATCTCCTCTCTCTCTCTCGCTCCTCTCTCTCTCTCTCCTCTCTCTTCCTCTCTCTTCTCTATCCTCCCTCTCGTCCTCTCTCTCTCATCGATTTCTGTTGTCGCCCGTCCTTCTGCTCTGCTCTCTCGATTGTTTTGGACACCAGCGCGTCTCTTCTTTATCTCTCTCTCCTCTCTCTCTCTCTCTCTCTCTCTTCTCCTCTCTTCTCTCTCGATCGCTTGCGTCTTCTCTCTCTCTGCTCTCTCATCTCTCTCTCTCTCTCTCATCCGCTCTCTCTCTCTCTCTACTCTCCTCTCTCTCCTTCTTTCTCGCTCTCGCTCTCTCTCTCTCTCTCTCTCTCTCTCTCTCTCTTTCTCTCTCGCTGTCTCTCTGCTGATCTCTCTGTGTGTACGTGTCATCTGTCTCTCGTCTGTGTACGCTGTCTTGTCTCTCTGCGCTGTCTCTGGCTGTGTGTGTGTTTCTCTTCTCTCTCTCTGCTCTCTCTCTCTCTCTACTCTCTCTCTGTCTCTCCTCTCTCTCTCTCTCTCTCTCTCTTTCTACTCTCTCTCTCTCTCTCTCTCTCTCTCTCTGTCTCACCCCTCGATCTGCTTTCCTCCCTTTCTGATTGTTCTGTCTATATCCGTTTTCTGTTTCTCTCGTATTATCTCTAGCTCTTTCTCATTCCTTCTCTTCTCTCTCGTTTAATCTGCCCGACGGCCGTCCGTTTTCTCTCTTCTCTCGTCTCTGACGCTCTCTCTCTTCTCCTCTCTCTCTATATCGACTCTTGCGCTCACCTCCGTCTCTCTCTCTCTCTTATCTGATCTGTATCACACGCTTCGCGCGCACAACAGACGGACGGACACGCACGCACGGCACGCACTCACGTACGTACACACACACACGCACCGCACGCCCACACAAACCACACCGTTTAATAAATAAATGAACATAAAAAACGCACATCTCCCGACCACATATTTGTAGCTGACGAACGTGACCGAATGTATATATAACTTCTCTGACGTCTGCGTCTCTCGCGCCTCTCCTCGGGTAGAGATTCCCGATATATCTATTCTCGCTATGGAATAATACTTCCCAGTAAACGGCACCAACTGTGCGAAAACTCTATCTTGTAGAGAAATTATGCACCCAATCCAAGTTAGACCTGAACCTATTGTCTTACTTTGCGTATTCGTGTTCTGAAAACAAAAGACAACACGACGCGCTGCCCAACCCCGACTTGTCCCGCTCGCAGAATCAGCTGTGCTGTGCCGGCCGGTCTGCTGCCGTGCGATCTTGTTGGCCAGTATATTTAACGAGTCTAGCTCTCAGCATGCTCTCTCTCCCCTCTCTCTGAATCTTTCTTTCTCCCTCATCTCCTTTCCCTCTCCCTCTGTTGTCGTGTCTCTCTCGTTATCGCTCCCCTCATCTTCTCTTCTCTCTCTCTCTCTCTCTCTATCTCTCTCTCTCTCTCTCCCTCTTTCCTTTCCTCTCTCTCTCTCTCTCGCGCTCTCTCTTCTCTACTCGCTCTCTCTCTCTCTTTTTCTCTCTCTCTCTCTCTCTCTATCTCTCTCTCTTCTTCTTTCTCTTGTGTGTACGCTGGCAATGTCCTGTCCTCTGGCATGTCTTTGTGTGCGGTACTCTGTGTGTGTTCTCTCTTCTCATCTCTCTCTCTCTCTCTCTCTCTCTCTCTCTCTTTTCTCTCTTCACCTTCGCTCTCTCGCTTTCTCTCTCTCTACTCTTTTCTGTCTCTTCACACGCTCGCGCCGCACACATCAGACGGCACGACACGCCAACGCGACGCACCGCCACACAAACACACCAGTCTTAAACTATAGTAAATAAAAAAATAAAAAACCGCCACTATTCCCAGACCCCTATTTTGTAGGTGAAACGCTCGCATATTGTGCCGAATACGATACTGAAACCGGTGACAGCACCTCCTGTTATATATAAACTCTCTGCGCTCTGCGTCTTCGCGCCTTCCTCGAGGTAAGGTTCCTATATCATCTCATATGATACTTCCCCGTTACAACTCGCACAACGTGACGCGAACCATCCTATTTAGAATATGACCAATCCAACGTTACGTGAACATTATCTGTTCTCTACACCTTTTGAGATATTCGTGCGGGGAAAACAAAGACAAACACGACGCCGCCGCCCCACAACCGTGTCCGTCGCAGAATCAGACTGTGCTTGCGGTTATTCGTTCGTCAATTGACTTGGCCCAGATATAGAAGCGTTTATCATAGCTCTCAGATCTCTCTTCCCCTCCTCTCATTGAATTCTTTCCCCTCTTCCTCGTATGCGGGCGTCCTCATCTCTCCCCCTCGATCCTCCGAGCTGCCTCTGATCCTGTCTCTCTTCTCTCTCTCATCCCTATCGCTCCCTCTTACTCCTCTCTCTCGCTCTCTCTTCTCTCTCTCTCTTCTCCTCTCTCTCTCTTCTCTCTCTCTCCTGCTCTTCCCTCTTTCTCTCTCGAGTTGTTGCGAGCATCGTCTCTCCTGCTCTCTCATTGTCTACTCCTGTGTGATTCCTCTGCTCTTCTGTGTGTGCTTGTGTCTCTCTCTCTACTCTTCTCTCTCTCTCTCTTCTTCTACTCTCTCTCTTCTCTCTTCTTCTTCTCTCTTCTCCTTCTCTCTCTCTCTCCTCTCTGTCCTACACCTCTCTCTCCCTCCCTCGGATACTAGTCTATCCGTCTTTCTGTTTCTCTCGTAATTATCTCTAGCTCTTTCTCTGTCCTTTCTCTCTCTCTCGTTCGTTTTCTCTCTTCTCTCTCTCTCTACTCTCTCTCTTCTCGTCTCATCGTCTCACTCGCTCGCTCTCTCGCTCTCTCGCTCTAATCTCTCTCTCTCTCTCTCTCTACTCGCTCGCTCTTCTCGCTCTCTCGCTCTCTCTCTCTCTCTTTCTGTCTCTCACACGCTCGCGCGCACACACAGACGGACGGACAGCACGCACGTACGTAACGCACACACGCAACGCACGTACGTACACGCACACACGCACGCACGTACGTACACGCACACACGCACGCACGTACGTACACGCACGCACGCACGTACGTACACGCACACACGCACGCACGCACACAAACACACACGTTTAAATAAATAAATGAAAAATAAAAAACCGCCATCTCCCAGCCCCATATTTGTAGGTAAAACCGTGAGCACCTTGCAAACTCCTCTGCCGCTGTGCGTCTTCGCGTCTCTCATCGGGTGGGTTCCCTATCTATCTCTATGGTAACGCCTACCTGGTGACGCTAGATCCAATCATCGTCGCCCGTCAGGAAATGCTGTCGTCACGTGTGAGTGTCGAAGGCCGGCGTGTGCAAGCGCGGGTGTACATCCAAAAGAAGACCACACACGAAAGCAGCGCTTGTAGGATACGAAAGAATTTTCTACTGTCAACAATAACAGCTTTGGAATTTCCACAGTAGGTAAAACCGTAAATTAATACTGATGTTCTTTCGCTATAATTTATGTGTTATTCTGCTAAGTAACATCTCTCTCGTGTCTCAGTAATCTGTGTATTATAGCGGGTATTTTGGGGCTGTACCTGGGAGCATGTACTGCGGAGTACAACGCTGGACATCGTGTCAGCATGGCTTTGCGTAATTCACTGCATGGACACCATTTATATGTAACGTCTTGGATTGTGCACTGTGAAAGTACATGTAGTATTTGCCGCGGTCAGTCTCGGGAGCGGCTACATGCGATTTCGTAACCTAGCATATCAGGGTTATCCTGTTCTGCTGACAATCTGAACTTGAACTAAGTAAAACTAATAAAACTTTTGTAGAACAGCTGTTACGTTCGTGTACTATAATACTATAACCTCGATCATACCCTTCTTAAGAATATACTATATAGTCCGGGGGTGTGCAACGAAGAATGAAAGAACCTATAACATTGACAAGATTAACAGATCAACACTGCATGCGGATTGCAGCTATAGAACTTGGAAGAAAATATTTCCATTTTATGAAAGGAACGATGAAACAAAGGAAGAATTTAAAGGTTTCCCTGGAGGAAGGATCGCAGAGTGTTCCAATATGAGATGCCAGATACCACATCTATCTATACATGTCGGATCAAATCATCAATCATTTATGTTTAGCAATATTTATTTACATTGTTAAAACCCCATACAGCAAGTAGTATAGGTAATATATGATTAGATGGTAACAACTGCAGTGTATATATATACTGACTCCTTATATCTTTATTATTATAATTTCAGTGTTCTTCTGGATGTATGGCGCTTTACAGATCAACAGACGTCCAGGAGCTACTGAGGGACAAGTTTGTTGTGTTCATTGGTGACTCCAGTAAGTTGTTACTATACATGGTTATTGACACATGTATATAGCGTACGTGTAGTGATAATATTGATTCATTGATGTTAATTGTTTCACGTTTTCTGTGAATGATGATGATATCACTAGAAATTCATAATGACATATCTGTAATCTGTAATTATATTCACTTCTAATATTGTGTACATTTATTGTATATACAGATTCTCGGGGGATGTACAAGGATTTACTCAGCTTGATGGACAGTGATAGCTTTATTTCACCTAATAGGCTACGGACAAGGGTATGCAATGAAGGCATGCATGTTGGCTCTGAAATGCCACAATATATTATTTCATGTCTATTTTAAAGCATTTTACCTGCACAATTGTCAATTCCTAAAATTGCACAATTTGTGCTACATGCATTTTTTTTGTTATTATTTTTTTTTTTTTCAACTTTAATTATAGTAGCTATATAAGCCATGCAGAGGATCGTTTACAATGGCTTTTCACGCTGTGGGTTTTACAGTATAACGTGGTAAACGGGTAAACCGTAGAAATGAGTAACTAGCAAATAATGTGGAAGGATGTAGCTACGGCGAAGAAGGGAGAAAGAAACCAGAAGAAATCAGTGAAAAAGAGCATGGGAAACAGGATGATGAAAGTATTAGAAAAAAAGGAGTCAGAGGTGGAGAAGGGGAACAAGAGAAACAAGTAGGAAGTAGTTGATAAAACAGCTCATAAGGAACCAGAACTTTCCTAACCCTTTCTCCGCATCCTCCCTCCCCTACGACCTCCTTCCACCCAACACCATCGATCCCCTCCACATGTTACGACCTCCTCATTCATTTCCTTCCCCTCCCCTCCCTACCTGTAATCACCAGTGTTGTAGGTCTCGAGGCCGGTGTTGTAGGTCTCGAGACCTGCCTCGAGGCCAGTTTCTTTGGTCTCGGCCTCAGTCTTGGCCTCGGAGTGCAATGACTCGGACTCGGACTCGGACTCGAGCCCTCCGGACTCGAGGACTCGGGTCGAGGCCACTACATAGTACATAACTGTACTGTGTACATATTGTAAACACGCAGTTTACAAGAATTTAAAACTAAAACTAGCTCCTACCTAATACAAACAAGTGAGAGATCCAGGGGCAGGAGACACCCCCCATTTTTGAACAAACACATACATAGAAGTGAGCGGCCTTGTCGGTCTGTGCCCACCTTTTTTTGAAAACACTGGACTCGGACTCGGACTCGGACTCGGACTCGGACTCGGACTCGGACTCGGACTCGGACTCGGACTCGGGGGGGGGGGTGCGGACTCGACTACAACACTGCTAATTTCACCCTCCTTCCTCACCTTTCTCCACAATCTCTCCATCTTCTTCACTTTAACTGGACTCGGACTCAGACTCGGAGGGTGCGGACTCAGACTCGGACTCGGACTCAGACTCGGGGGGGGGGGTGCGGACTCGACTACAACACTGGTAATTTCACCCTCCTTCCTCACCTTTCTCCACAATCTCTCCATCTTCTTCACTTTAACCCTGTTCTATATTCCCTGTACCTCCTAACCTCCTGCATGTCTGGTTCTCCTCCTTTGACATCTTTCGACATCAAACTATTCTCCCATCTCTCCTTTACTCCACATCTCACTCCGCATCCACCTCCCTCTCCTCCTCCCTTCCCTCACCACTCTTCTCACCCTCCCCCACCCCCCACACATTACCCAACTTTTCTCCTCCCCTCCGTCATCTTCCTTTTCTCTCCTAATTCTCCACATCCTCCTCACATGTGCCTCATCATCCATCTTTCCTCCCTTCTTATCTACCTTCTCCTTTTACCTCCGTCATCTAACACTGCTTAGTTAGAGGTAGGTAGGTGATTCGTGTCTTCTTCATGCTGAGCGATTCTTGTCTCTTAGTGAGCTTTGTTTCGATCTCCACCTCTGGCCAGATCAGGAGATTTTTCCCAGCTGCATTAATGGTTAGCTAATTATTTTCCACATTGTTGTTTGTTATCTTTATTGGCATATTTTTCAGGGAGAGTTATCATTTTTAAATGATACTCTGTGTCATGGGGGAAGTTTAGTTAAGATGCATAATGGCGTGGCATTCAGAGAAGAGAGGGAATTTTACAACGCCACCTTCATGATGCGATACTTCTATATAACCAGGTATGTACTTGGTATATCACCAGGTATTTACTTGTGATTTATATGATGTCACCTATAGTGTGAAGAAACGACAAAAGCATTAGTATAGTGTGGTAGTTTTGTAATGTGTTTTTAGTGTTAATACGTGGATCCTGAGCGTAGGACCATTACTTACGAGCGGGGAGGACAGAAACTCGACGTGTTTACAAGAACACTTTTATTCTGCAACTCCTGACGTCACATCGCTTCTGGGTACTCGCGAGTGATATTACTACGCGCATCAACATTGAGTAATTTCAATTATGTACGTGTTGTACTGAAATGTGGACAACCTATTACCTATGGCATTTTAAACTACAATGTGATTTTGGGGGCTCATGACATGTGAGCGTGATTGTTGTTACATCCAAATACTTTATTGCGATTACTGCCGTGTTTCCATTAGTAAACGACTCTCAGATTCAGTACAACATGTTACAGAATCAATTGTAGTTTTTTCGACTGAATAATAAATCAAAATCAACTTTAGATATTTACTAATTTATGGATATTTATTATCGGAGGCTTTAATTTAATAATTCATTAATTGCAAAGAAACAAGCGTTAAGTGTGCCCATAGCAGCCCATGAAATGCCACCAAAACAGCGATCAATTCAACGACAGTTCAACATGCAATTATCGATGATTAGTTTAAAGACCATGTTGTGTGTAGTATTTATTTTGCCAATTATTACAATTTCAAAGCGATACAAATTTTATCGAGCTTTGAGTAATAGCGCTAACACATATACACAAGTATAAAGCAATTATTCTCTGTAGTCTAAGGGAGATTATTACAGTTTAACATCGTGAACCAAAATGCGATGTTCAGTTTCATTCAGATTTATTCCAAGGCTATTAACTGCTGATATTTGTATTTCAGCCTGGTGGTAGAGGCACTAAAGGAAGTCGACCCGGATCGACGGTGTTTCCGCATGATAGGTGGCGTTCTTGTCGAGCGACAAGTGAAAGACGTGTTGCCAGCTGTAGATAATAATAAAACACAGGTGAGAATTCATATCATTTTTAAGTCATTAAATTTTTAAATCATTCAATTTAATCATTAAATTTTTAGATCATTTTTAAATCTTTAAATTTTTAGATCATTTTAAAACTTCTCGGTTCGATTCAGTGCGGAGTGACGGAGTCCACGTGTTTAGTTTTGTCTCCCTCCTCTTGTCGTGCTTTTACCTTTTTTCAAAGTCATAGCAAGTCCATCGCCCAATCTAAGGCTATGGCCAGGTTAGGATTTGAATGTTCCTTAACCAATAACTTGCCCCTTGTGTCATAGTGGGAGGAGGCAAGTCAGGCGTTCATTGAAGAAAGGGTATCAGTTTGCCTGACCCGACATTGTGTATACTTCGCTTCCCCCCTGAAACTCCCAAATATAATACCCCCAAATTGTTATAATAACAGAAGTTGATTCAACTAAAAGACTATTTGCTCATCACTGATGCGTCACTGGTGGCCAAGTCATTGTGGCGACAATGATTCACAATGTTCAGTGACTCTTTGATGAATAATTTGGTGTTGGATACATTCTACATTGTGTAGTCGTACAAATGTACAAGTAAAATGATCATCTACTACAAAAAGTTTTTGATAGGCCCCTGAGATTATAATGAATAGGAAATCTTTGAAGGTTTGCCTTATGCCATATGCCAAACAACCTGTTTTCTTAATTTTTCTTACAGTTGACAGAGTTTATAGAAAGATTAACGACTCAGGTAGTTACAAAAGGCAAGGAAATCAATGAGTACAGAGAAAAGTTCAACATAAAGGTTCGTGGAGAGCAGGAGACCGAGGAGAAGGAGCCTGAGGAAAGCTCTAGCAAGACTGCAACACAAAGTGTTCTCGTTGGGAAACAGAGCCAAGAATGATATCACTAATCTAACTACCCTCCCCACGCAGATGACTCGGTTTAGAACTTACCCGTTGCCATCCACTCACTAGCAGAACAAAAAGCACCGGTTGGTTTGCTGTGCAGGGTAGAGTACCGGTAGCATTTATTGACTTTGTTGGTTTTTGAGGCACTTGCTGTTTTATTTTATATCTTTTGTATATTACAGCCACTACAAGTATGTCTTTAGTTACATGTTGAAGTTAGAAGTGATGTAATTTCGTACAGAAGTCACAAGGAATCATAGGAATGTTACAACATAGCTAATGATTTCTCACTGTCAATAATCATCTAAATTAAAAGTTACTTTGACATTGTTCAATTAAAATGGCAGAAGCAATGCTTTGCATATGTAAAAACAGAAAGTATGTTTCTAATGTGTCATTTATTGTGTTGTTTCAATACATAAATGCATTCAGTGACTAACCTTAACCTAACTATATAATAGCATTTTATACTATCAGATCTGGCAGAGCAAAGATTGCTATTACATTTGATCGCAGACTATTCTAGTGTGCTAGTTTTTGTTGATGTTTAGATATGTCGTCGTGATATATGCTGCATTGTTTAAAAAGTTTAAAAAACATAAATAACTGATGTGTGCGTAAACACTTGATGTGAACATGTGAATAAGACGTGTCTTGAAAATTTAACCACAGCTATTTCTTTGTTTGTGTATATTTGTTAAAAATGTAAACATGACAAGCCTGCAGTTGAAAAAAAACAGATGCCTGTAGCTAAGGTAGGCTCTGATTTGACTAGTAAGAAGCATTTGTAGAATCAAAGTCCATTTGCCTTAACGTATGTGTTGTGAAGATCGTTTTGACAATTTAAATGGGAAGATTATGAAAACCATCACAGTGGTTTAGCATGACATGTTTGAAAAGAAAAATCAAGCCATAACGGTTAGTTGTGGAACGTTGGCAAACGTCTATAAATTCATAGTTGCATTCTTTGAAAAGAGACGCAGTGAACAGCTAGAAGCATCTCACAGTAACTTTGTGAGAGTGCTCATAGAACACAGCGAGCTTTCACTCAATTATTTTGAAATATGAATTAGACTCTGAGGAAGCTTTTAGATTCTGCCATCAATAAGAAAGAATAATAATTGAAGGCCGGTGGACAACAGTCAAGTAGCAATAACTTGCTTACCACAAATTAATTCATCCTCTACTAGTACAATGGTAGCTGCATAGAGGACTCCGAAAATTTGTCACAGATAATAAACGTCAGTTTGCTACTCTAAAGAGAAAAGAGGAGGAAGCAGGGGATGAGAAACATAGAAAGCGGAGGATGAGAGAGAAATAACGCTGTGGTGAATTGAAGCGAAGAAGAGTATGAGAGAATGGTAGGCAGGGGGAGGAGGAGCGAGAGAATCGGGGGAGAATGAAGGAGGAGGTGGAGGATGAGATTGGAGGGGGAGAAACCGATAAGAAGGGGCTGTAGCGGAGGAGATAGAAGAGAAGGTGGAAAAGAAGGGAGCTGATAAAGGACGGTAGGAAAAGAGAAGGGTGGAGAAGGAAGGAAGTGGTAACGGAGGGGGAAGGCTGGGGAATAATTAAGGTACAGGAGGAGGGAGGGGAGAGGGTGAATGAGAAAAGGATGAAGGAGGGAGAAAGTAGTAGTATATACCGTCTCTTGCTACAATCGTCGTATCAGCGACCAAAATCCTATAGGTTCTTGAGAAGCTGCTAGCAGCTGCTTCTGATCGCTTGCTTCACATGGAAAGGAAGAGCATATCTCGGATGCAGTCGAAAATCAACTTCACAGGTCTCATCGTCTAGAGATCTCCGTTCCTTGGAAGAAGCCAAGAAGTCTACCTGCCAGCTCGTCAGGCAGAGCGTGGAGTTCCCCCATCGACAACAAAGGGCATGCTACGTCTTACGTGAAACACCTACAGGACAATCAAGGAGAAATCCGAGTGCCAGGATCCACATAATCTACCAGAGCACTCCCGGACCTGCTCCGCCTCCAAGGTTGGAATGCGCCTCCAGCATCGGAGAGAGGAAAAACCTGCGTATGCTGCCTCTAGTCGCAAGGAGCCTCCACCGTATGTTACAAGGTCTGCCGTGTATAAAGCAAACCAAGATATGCAGACCAGCCTAAAACTTTCGCGTTTTGGGTCTGCATTGCAAGCTTAGTATGAGTGTAGGCGAAAAATGCTGCTCATTGGCTTGACAGAGTCACAACGCCGTGACTCTATGTTATATAGATCAAGGCACGACAGGTTACTAGCCTTTCAATTCAAGCTTCATGGCAGTTATAGATTTGCCAGTTTACATTAGTGCCCGGGTTTTCGGACTTATATATTCTACTCTTAGCCCACTTAGTAAGACGTTGCCTAATGAATAACAAACACCAAGTTAGATGAGGCTTGTTTGGTTTTCAACAGATTCAAATTCAATTATGATGCTCAAAATGAGTGAGACCACATTTAGTGAAAAGTTAACAGTTTGTTTATTCGCGAAGTATATATGTGAATTCAATAGACAGATTGCAATACAGTCTCGCCATTCATTCTTCAAAACTCAGTGGACTGTCTATCAATCTTTAAAGAAAAGGGAGATGTGATGTTGCCGTACACTACTTGCAGTGTCAGCCCCTCTATGAACTAATAACATATGAACGCATGAAAAGTGCGCGCAAATCATCCAGGCGCTAATAAAGGATGCGTTTGTCACAAGTCAGTGTCTTTGTTGTCACTACCACTCGTTATATCTTGACCAGAAGACCGGACTCGACTACAACACTGGTAATTTCACGCCTCCTTCTTCACCTTTCTCCACAATCTCTCCATCTTGCTTTCACTTTAACGCTTTCATATAGTTCTCTTTACCCCCAACCTCCTGCTCGTTCTCCTCTTTGACATCTTTCAACATCAAACTATCTCGCCATCTCTCTTTACTCCATCGTTCACTCGCGAGCTCCACCTCCCTCTCCTCCTCCCTCCTTCCCTCACACCTTCTCGAGAGCCAGGCCCCCCACCCCCCACATTACGCAACTTTGCTCCTCCCTCCGTCATCTTCCTTTTTCTCTCCTAATTCTCCCACATCCTCCCGACATGTGGCTGCATCATGCCATG